AATTGAAAATGGCAAACAAAAACTTCCAGAAAAACAGCAGGAAAAAATCTAGGTCACCTTGGCTTGTGCAATAAGTTTGTAGATACAGCACCAAAACATAATCCATTGAAAAAAAATTGCTAATTGATTTCATTAATTAAAAATTATCTCTGCAAAAGACCATGTTAAAATAATAAACACAAACACAGCCTGGAGAATCTTTGCAAACACATATCTATAATCAACTTGATCTAAAATATACAGAGAATTCCAAAAGCTTAACATAAGAAACCACACATTATCAATAAAAAAAGGCGAAAAAGCCTGAACAGGCCACGGCCAGTGGCTTCACACCCTAGAAATCCCAGCACTTTGGAAGCGCCAAGTGGGAGGATCCTGAGCAGGAGTTCAAGACTGGCCGTTGGACAACAATAGCAAGAACCGCCATCCATCTATTTTATAAAAGGAAATATCTAAACAGAACTCACCAAAGAGATACCAAGATGGCCAAAAGTATATAAATATGCTCAGTATGCACAGTCATTAGAGAATTGCAAATTAAAACAACAGAGACACCATTACAGCAAACTTATTCGAATGGCTTAAATCACAAAACATTAAAACAATGCTGCAAGATGTGGAGCAATAGAAACTCTTAATTGTGCTCAGAAGGAATACACGTACAGCCACTTTGAAGCCAGTTGGCAGTTCTTCAAAGAAAACATGCCCTACATATAATCCACAGTTGAACCCTAAGTATCTATCCCAAAATTGAAAATGAATGTCATACAAAAACCTGCATGTAGATGTTTACCCAGCAGCTTATATCACAATTGCTAAATACTTGGAAGCAACACGTCCTTCGCATAAGTGAATGATAACACTGTGTACCCATCAAATGGAATATCAATGCCATGAAAAAACATAGACGGAACTCTAAAACATTTTTGTTCAGTGAAAGAAGCCAGTCTGAAACGGTACAACAGTATGGATCAGCCATACAACATTCTGTGAAATGCAAACCCACAGAACTGTAACAATTAGAAGAGTGACCTTATTTGTAAATATTAGATTTAGTTAACATGTATCAATCTGTGTGTGTGTGTGTGTTTGAAAAGGTCTGCAAGACTAACACCAAACTGGAAAGGAGAAAAGATAGAGCAAAATAGGATAATAATTTCTACTCATAACTTCTGGGTGGTTTGACTTTTATCAGTGACCATATGGTAGGTATTGTTGTAATTATTTTAATAATACCATTTTTAAAATAATTATGTAATTTACCAAAGTTCAGGAAACTGACCATTTCTAAATACAGTGAGAAAGAAAAAAAGCGACTTTTTATATGATTCCTCAACAATTATAAAGTTCCAGAAACCAGGATATTTCCAAGTCCGATCTTCAATCTAGCAATAACCTCTGAGGAAGATGCAAAATGGAAGAGAACAATTGAAAATGCCAGAATGTGTTCTTTAATTAGGCCTTCCCCTCACATGACTTTTATAAATAAAAAAGATTTCCAAAAAACTAGCTGCTCTTTGATTCCTTTATACAAATGTGCAAGGAAAAATAAGAGAAAGAAATAATAGCATGAAGTTTTCTTAGTTTACTCAGATTTCTTTTTATTAAAGACAAGTGAGTATGTGAAGGCACCGCTATTTCCCTTCATTTGTGAAATAGCAAAGCTTTTATTGTCTTTACCATAGCTCAAACAGAAAAGATAGTTTTCTAAATTCACACACATTGCAGAGGAAGGAGCAGGAACAGATATAACTGGTGGTGTGTAGACAGGATCGTTCTACAGCTAACAGCACAAAAGCCCACTTGGATTGTTGAGAGACGTGTGCAGGTGGACAGACCCACACTGACTGAAAAAGGAGAGGCATGTGTGTGGGTGTGAGTTCTCCAGCAGTCAGCCTACAAGGAAAGCAGGGAAAAGTCTATGGATATAGAATAAATACTGTCACTTGGAGCTGCATTTATTCTTTTTTCAGACTAATGGCTCAGATGGTGGAACAACCAAATGATGACTAAAATATGAGTCAAATGCTTTCAAATCAGATCATTCCAATGAAGCAGGATCACAGAAGAGCAGAAAGCAGTTCATTAGAGGTTCTGACCAATACTTGTTAAATCTGAAGAAACCTGCTCTCCTTAAAGACTGCCTCTTTCAATCATTTTGACATTAGTGACCTGGGGACAGTAGATCTTTATTACCTGTGACACCTACTGATCAGCTCTGAGCAGTGGCAAAGGCAGCTCCTGGCTGGGCTTGTGCGCTTTCCCCAGTCCTGATTTCTCTTCCTTCTCTCCCAGGTCTACCTAGGATGCCAGAGGGCGTCAGGACATTCAAAAATTAGACTCAAAGTTGGGTTTCTTAATATTTTTGAAAACCAACTTTCATTTAAATATAAAAATGGCTCATATTAAGGTGGAGTGAGGTTGGGAGAAAGGAGGTGAAGAGAGGCATATTACTAAATGGAACCACAGATGTCAAGCTCCCAGAAGGCTGAAACACACCCCTGAGGCGTGGAAGAGGTAAGAGCAGGCACACTGGGCCTCATGGGAGAGCCACGTGGGCCCACGACAGGCATGTGGATGGCTTCCCTGACATCTTTCTCCTCCCCCTTCCTTCTGCTAATTTCTCAGTTTCAAATTCTTTCCCCAAGTGTTCATCCCTATTTTACAATTCTATTCTTTAAAAAGAAAAAGAAAAGATTTTTGGTGAAGACACAGTGAGAAGGAAAATGTTCCTAAGTGGACTAAGGTACTTAGAAAACAGCCTCTTTCCACATTTGTCGGAGGAGGACCTCATCAGGAATGCGCAGAAGTGCCCACACATTCCTCTGTGTCAGGCTCCTGTTGTCCCCACTCTATCCTTTTTGAGAATTATCACTCATGCAGCAGGAAGAATGCAGTACAATGTTTAGCACCCAGCAAACGTACAAAACCTCTCCAGACAACCTGGAGCTTACTTCAGCCTAAGCTAGGCACTCCACATACTCCCTGCTCTCTTCCCTAATGGATGCACTTAGAAGTGAAGACTATATGTTCTTTTTTTTAAAACTGTTTTTAATTGTGGTAAAACGTACATAAAATTTACTATTTTAAGTGTGCAGTTCAGTGGTATTACATACATCCCCATTGTTGTGCAACCATCACCACCATCTACTTCCAGAACTTTTCCATCTTCCCAAACTGAAACTCTGTATCATTAAACAATAACTCTCCATTCCCCGTCCCTCTGGCAGCCACCATGCTACAGGTTGAGGATCCCTTATCCAAAGTGCTTGGGACCAGAAGTGTTTTGGATTTCAGATTTCTCTCGGATTTCAGAATATTTGCATTATACTCACTGAGCATCCCAAATCCGAAAATCCAGTATCTGAGATGCTCCAATAAGCATTTCAGAACTCAAAAAGCTTCAGACTTTGGAGCATTTCAAATTTCAGATTTTTGGATTTGGGACTCTCAACCAGTACTTTCTGTCTCTTTGAATTTGACTGCCCCGGGCACTTCACATAAGTTGAATCATACAGTATTTGTACTTTGCGGCTGGTGTGCTTTACATATAGTGTCTTCGAGGGTCATCATGTTGTAGCACATGTCAGAATTTCATTCCTTTTAAGGCTGAACAATATTCCATTTTGTGTATATACCATATTTTGTTTATCCACTTGCCTGTCAAAGGACATTTGAGTTGTTTCTAGAGCAACATATTCTTAATTTAATCTCGCGATGTAAGACTTGCAGATAATTCAAATTCAATTCAATTTATTGAGTATTTACCAAGGGCAACTCACTTTGGTGTTATGGGAAGTACAAGGGTGAATAAAACATGTACCTGCTCTCAAGAAATTTATGGTACATTGGGAAAGGAGAAGAGAAAGAAGTGAAAGTCATGAACATTTGCCAATTGATTACTAGGCACCAGGTGCTTTACCCAATCACTGCATGTACTGCCCACAACAGCTCTGTGAGGAAGATACTGTGATATCCACTTTACAGCAAGAAACGTGAAGGTACAGAGACGTAAGTAACAATCTCTAAAGAGGTGAGTTTGAGGGTTTTTTTGGTTTTTTTTTTAGAATTCCATATTTTTGTTTTATTTGTGTCTCCTCATCCTCAGCACAGGTTCCCCCATAATTACCATCTTGCATTAGTGTAGTAATTTGTTATAATTAGTGAGCCAATATTGATACATTGTTATTAACTAAAGTCTATAGTTTCCATTAGGGTTCACTCACTGCTATTGTACCGTTCTATGGGTTTTGAAAAATGCATGACATATCTCCATGAAGACATATACAGAATAGCTTCACCACCCTGAGCTTCATGTGTGCAGAGGGCAGCATTCGAACCAGCCTCTGCAGAGGGCCTGGGGGATCCGATGGGCTGAGGAAGCAGGGTGCGCAAAGCCAGGTGCAGGAAGGCTGGCGGGCCTGGCAGGTCAAGTCCTCATTTCTGGGCTCTCCTAATTAATTCATAGCAGACACACAGCTCAAGCTTGCTTTGTCACATGTGACAGGTTCCAGGAACCCAGACTTCTTGCCCCAGTGGCATCTGGCAGGCCATCCTTCAGCTTGTGGGCCGGTATAGGAAGCTCACAGCTCACGCACTCAGTGGGTTCCGTCAGCCATGGCGACTCAAACCCACATCTTGGAATCAGAAGCCTGTGTTCATCCCACTATACACGATTTCCCTGTGGTTCAAGGCAGAAAGTAGCAAATCTTGGAAGAGATGCTACAGGAAGGCAGAAGAGAAAGAAGAGACTCCCACGCTCCTGAGGGTAAAGGCACGTGGCAAAGGCAGGTCTTAGAGGTCAGGAGGGCTTGTGTTTGGCAGAGATGAAGAGTAGAGGAAATGCACGAGCAGAGCAAAATGAGGGAAGAAGGAAAGCTCGGTGTACCCTTGGGCTCCAGAGGAGTTGTGGAGCATAAGGCTGGGACAAAATAATGATTTTAATGAAATGCTAGCTCAAGAAGTCTGAATCCACCATATAGGCAATGGTAAGCCACTGTGGGTGTTCTAACAAGAGACACAGTCAGACCGATGATTTGGGAAGATCACCATGGCAATGACGTACAACAAGGATGGAGGGAGTGGGGTAATTTAAAGGTAGGAAAACTGGTTAGAAGGTCAGTCGAGATAGCAGGTGAGACATAATTAAGTCATATGGAAAAGAGATGTGGAGGTAAGAGCTATCTTAGAGATGGGAATGACAGAACTGGGCACTTGTGCATTACAAATAGGGCAGCCATACATGCAGGTTTGGCCTGGGGTACATTTTCCTGCTGTAGTTACTAAAAGTACTCTCAAAAAGGTCCAAGTTTGGACAATAAACTATATAATCAAACTAAATTAGGAGCAATAAGAAAACAGAATCAAAGGTGACTCTAAGATTTTAAACCTGGATTAGTAAGGAAGGTGATAACACCTTGGAAATACAGAAGGGAAATCAGATTTTTGGGAAAGATGATGAGTTTGGATTTGGACATGCTGAGTTTGCTGCTGAGGTAATGGTTTATTTAGGAGAGAGAAGCACCTTGCCCATGGATTTGTGCTGTATCACATGAAGGAAGGCATCATTAACCTGAAAAAAATTCAAAAAAATGTGATCAGTCATGCACATATGCATATTTCAACAAATGTTTGTTGCTGGTTCAGTTATTAAAGTAACTAAAGTGTTCAGATGTGTCTCTAATGAACTGTATGTAACTAACCATGAAATGCTAACTATCACGACAAATGCAATGAAAAACAATAATATTTAAGAATAACCCAACCCCAGAATTTCTCTCTGTCTAAACCTATAATCCTCAATGTGTTCAGATAATTGCCAGCAGATAAAAAGCCTGTCCATACTCTACTGTAATAGTTCTGTGTGTTCCAGCTTGTGAAAAATGGAGCCTCTGGCAGAAAAATCAATACTTATTTTTTACAATTTTTATCTTTTTATTAAAATTACCCTATTTCCTATGTAACTAAAATTGTAGTCTATCTTAAATCTTTTTTCAGAAGTATGAGGTTACAAAACATATACTAAAAAGCAGCTACAGTAATAAAGGCAGTATGGTATTGGTGAAAGAATAGGCAAATAGATCAATGGAACACAATACAGAGCCCAAAAATAAACCCACACAATAGAGTCAACTGATCTTTGACAAAGGAACAAAAGCAATTCAATGGAGAAAAGACAGTCTTTCAACAAAAGGTGCTAGAAAAACTGGATGTCCACATGTAAAAATACAAATCTAGATACAGGCCTTACACCCTTCACAAAAATTACCTCGAAATGGATCATGGATCTAAATGTAAAATGCAAAGCTATAAAACTTCCAGAAGAAAACACAGGAAAAAATCTAGGTCACCTTGGGCTTGGCAATAAGTTTTTAGATACAGCACCAAAAACATAATCCATGAAAAAAAATTGCTAAATTGATTTCATTAAAATTAAAAACTTATGCTCTGCAAAAGACACTGTTAAAATAATGAAACACAAACCACAACCTGGGAGAAAATCTTTGCAAAACACATATCTGATAAACAACTTGTATCTAAAATATACAGAGAATTCTCAAAGCTTAACAATAAGAAAACAACCCAATTATCAATAAAAAGAAGGCAAAAGACCTGAACAGGCCAGGCACAGTGGCTCACACCTATAATCCCAGCACTTTGGAAGGCCAAGGTGGGAGGATTACCTGAGGCCAGGAGTTCAAGACTGGCCTGGACAACATAGCAAGACCGCCATCTCTATTTTATAAAAAGGAAAATATCTAAACAGACACCTCACCAAAGAAGATACATATATGGCAAATAGTATATAAAAATATGCTCAGTATCACAGGTCATTAGAGAATTGCAAATTAAAACAACAATGAGACACCATTACACACTTATTAGAATGGCTAAAATCCAAAACATTAAAACCAAATGCTGGCAAGGATGTGGAGCAATAGAAACTCTTAATTGTTGCTAGAAGGAATACACGGTACAGCCACTTTGGAAGCCAGTTTGGCAGTTTCTTACAAAAGAAAACATGCCCTTACTATATAATCCAGCAGTTGAACTCCTAAGTATCTATCCAAATGAATTGAATGTCCATACAAAAACCTGCATGTGAATGTTTACAGCAGCTTTATTCACAATTGCTAAAACTTGGAAGCAACCACGTCCTTCCATAGGTGAATGGATAAACAAACTGTGGTACATCCATACAATGGAATATCAAGCCATGAAAAAACATAGAGGAATCTTAAAAGCATTTTGTTCAGTGAAAGAAGCCAGTCTGAAAAGGCTACATACAGTATGATTCCAGCCATACAACATTCTGGGAAATGCAAAACCCACAGAACTGTACAATATAAAGAGTTGACCTTATTGTAAACTATAGATTTAGTTAACAATGTATCAATGTTGGTTTATCAATTGTAATAAACACACCATGCAATGCAAGATGCTAATAATATAGTGGAAACTGGGGAACAGAAGAGGGAGTATATGAGAACTCTCTATACTTTCTGTTGAATTTTTCTGTATACCTAAAACTGCTCAAAAATAGTCTATTAATTTTTAAAACAAAATAAATGATAAATTAAAAATGAAATTAAAAAAGCAAAAAATACAATAGACAAAAGTGTCATTATTTGCAAACAATATGATAATCTACAAAGAAAAACTAATCAAAGCAACAAATAAGAAAGATCATCAAGATTGTGAGATAAGATCAGCTTATAAAACTTACTGACATTTCTCTATATCAGAAGTAACTAACTAGACAATTTACAGAAATAAAATATCATTCTAAAGGCAATGAAAACAGTAAAGTACTTATAATTAACCTTACTAAGAATAATCCACAAGACCTTAAGAAGAAAAACTTTAAACTCTAATAAAAGACCAGGTGCAGTGATTTGTGCCCATAATTCCAGCACTTTGGGAGGCTAAGAAGGGAGGATCACTTGAGTTCAGGAGTTTAAGTCTCTACAAAAAAATTTTAAAAATTAGCCAACCGTGGTGGGGCACCCCTATAGTCTCAGCTATTCGGGAGGCTGAGGCGGAAGGATCCCTTGAATCCAGGAGTTCAAGGCTGCAGTGGGCTATGATTGGACCACTGCACTCTCACCTGGGTAACAGAGCAAGACCCTGTCTCAAAACAAACAAACAAGACCTGAAAGATCTATATAAATGGCAATGTATCCTTCCCTGTTCACTTGTTCATAGATTAGGCAACTTAACATTGTAAAAGTATCAATTCTCCCCCTAATTAATATATAAAATCAATGTAAATCCATTCAAGATGTCAGCCAGAGTTCTTGAGGAGCTAAACAAATTTATTATAATTTATCTAAAAATATAAAGTTTCACAAGTAGCTAAGTCAAATTTGAAAAAGAACAAAGATGGAAGAGTTACCCTATCATATATTAAAACATTCAAAGCTATAAACATAAAAACTCTATGACACTGGTTGAAATAAGATGAAAGGAGCACCACAAATCAATGGGAAAACAGTGGACTCTTTGGTACTGGGAAATTCAGCTCACTATCAAAAGAAAAAGTGAAAAAAAAAGGCTACCTGACTCATACCCAATATAAAAGTGACTTTAGATACATTAAATCCTTAAGTGTGAAACAAAACTATAAACTTAATAGAGAAAAATTGAGAAGAAAATCACTGTGACCCAGGGATAATGAGGACTTCTAAAACAAGTCTCCAACAGCATAACCATAAGGTAAAATATTGAAGTGTTTGATTACATTAAATATATGTAAAGGTGACAGTAGCATGATAAATTTGGAAGGCGACTTTTGCAAAGTCTCAAACCAACATCTACAACCTTGCTACTCAAGGGGAGGTTCGGGGACCATACGCTTCTACATAATCTGAGAGCTCATCAGAAATGCACAATCTTGAGTCTTATCCTACACTTATTGAATCAAAACCTGAATCTGAACAAGATCCCCAGATGATCTGCATGCATATCAGAGTGTGACGAGCACAGATTCCACAAGGAACTTTTGTAAATTATTTAAAAAAAAACCAAAAAACAAAAAAAAAAGAAAGGAGCTACACAAGGAGCTTAAATTTCATTTCAAAGCACTGGAAACCTGAATTGCTAGCAAATATATAAAGAGATCCTTAAATGTATTAGAAATCAGGGAAATTCAAGTTAAAATAGTAAGATGCCACTTTATGCCTTATCAGTTTGGCAAAAATCCGAATGTTGAACATTGCTACACATCAACAGGGTGACAAGTGAACGAGAACACCACTGGTGGGGCATAACCTGGTCAAGTCATTCTGGAGAGCAATTGGCAGACAATGAAGGATGCACACATCCTCTGACCCAATAATTGTACTGCTGGTAAAATACTCCCAAAGCAACATTTGCACAAGTCCCCAGGGTTACACACAGGAGGCTGTTTACTGCCACACTAATTATAGTGGCAGGGAATCAAGTCAACCCTCAAGTTCATGGAATAGATTTGCAAACTATGGGGGATGCACACCGTGCACCACTATGCAGCAGAGGGAAGCAATGAACCAGGTGCAGGGACAGCAACACAGACGGATCTTAAAAAGACAGCACTGAGTGAAAAATTAAGAAACACAACAAACTCAAGAGCACAACACCATTTGTGTAACTAACACCAATTAATTCTGTGTGTTTTACAAGGAAATATAAATCCAAAGACGTGTATCAAACATGTTACAGAGACTGGCTCGGAAGGGAGGAAAAAGAGTGAGGAGAGACATTGGGAAATGAGATTAAAGGAAGTAAATACAGATGTTCATAAATATAACAGACATAAAAACAGAAGATGGGCTTTGCATGGTGAGAATGTGCTTTGAGAATGTGCTTTGAAATGAGGATTATGATTAACCAATCTTTTTCATTTGAGATCCTCCAAAAAAAGCATATCAAAAAATATAAATTAAAATAAGCAGAGAAACAAATCAATCATGGCAATCTCTCTGTAGCATGAAATCCCTGGCTTCAAAAACATCTGTCTTTCAGGACATTGTGCTTTACAGAGATCTTTCCTATCTAAGCAAATTTAGACTCACTTTGAGGAGGTGGAAGAGGTCGAAGACAGATGTTTGAAACACTCAGCCCCCCTGTCAATCATCTCCAGGTGACTCATAGCTCATCACATTCCCTGTCAGTTAGAAATCACTTGTTCCCAGAGATTTGTCATAGCCCAACAATAGAAAATACATGAGAAAATAAGTATTACTTGAGATAGTGATACTTTTTTACCTGACATCCTGGGAAAATTTAAGGATCTCCTACAAATAAATGTTAATATAAAAGAAAGATACCCCTTCAAATGCCCAAGCTTATTTTTAACCATTTTGTATATAAATATTTATTAAAATGTATCACATATTTATTTGACTTCTGTAAAAGATAATACTGGAGGAAGGCATAATCTTTTCATCCCACAACTTGAGCATCTCAAAATGTTAACATTCATTACCTTACTTTCTGTTTTTCAGATGTTTTGTCACCTCTCCATGTCCAATTGCCACTTCTGTTGTGATTGCAGCTGCTTCTAAAAATAACCCAACTCTGTCCCTTTCTACCTGGTAGTCTCTGTCTGGGCTGGGAAAACAGACAATCAGTGGTGTTAAGGACTAGAAGTTTAGTAAGAGTGATAAGGCTCGGAGAAAGAGACTAAAAAGTAAAATGCACAGCTTGAGACTTACAGACTTTCGGTAGCTACTTAGGTGCCTAGGGACACCGTCCTCCTCTGGATTCTACAGGCTGCAGCACACAGAGGAAGGCTGGGCAATGCTGACGCCTGGATAGACACAGGCTGCTCCCAGCACCCTGGTTCCCTGCCTTGAGGGGGATGAAGCCATGATTAAATTTTTCTCTAGAGATAGCACAACCCGAAATGTGGGGCAGGATAAGGATATTGCTTTTGTTTTAGGATGTGAAGGTTCTACTATTGGAATTTTTAATTAGCTCATCAAGCAGGAATAATCAGAGTAACTTGTAGTTCCCTAAATATATCATGCTGATTCATGCTTCTCATTAGAATCTGGTCTTCCCCTATCACAGCACTGTCCTGAGATCTTCCCAATAAAAAATTAACTCTTTAACTCCTTAAGGGCATGACTAAGTCTTACTTTTTATTGACTGACATACAGTGAATGTTTGATGAATAAAATAAATTCATGAATGAATGACTGTATCTTTGATGAGTGGGACTGTTTTTAAAAGGTAAAAACTTTTAGCTAGTGATACATTGCTATAGATGAATATATATTCATCATATCATTGCTCTGATACAAGTTGATCTGAATCTCAGATATCATCCACTACACACCTAATGAAATGGCTAAAATTAAAAAAGACAACTGACAAGACTAAGTTCTGGCAGATACAGAGCAACTAGAACTCTCATACATTGGTGGTGGGAATGCAAAATGGTATAACCACTTTGGAAAATAGTTTAGCAGCTTGTTAAAAGTTAAATATGAAGTAGCAAATCAGTGCAAGCAAAATTCCAAATGTTAAAACAGCTCAACTTTGGCCACAGTTGTATGCTGCAGCACATTTGTATTCTCTCATCCAGAATGCACCAAAAGAAATAAAAATATGTGTGCCATGGGCTTTGATAGGAATGTAGTAATGGTAGCCTTGTCTTCAAAATCATCGGACATAGAGAATAAAACACAATGCTTTGGAATAACTGAGGCATAGAGAAGAGCCATTGACATATTCAAGCTAATCTAACCTTTAAATGGTAAACAAGCTCAGACCTGCGAGATCCGAGCACCACACCTGGCTGAGACGCGTGTGGGCAGCTCCCTACAGAAGGAAGAGAGCAGGTAAGTTATGAGCAGCAAACAAGTTATGATAAACAACTTTTTCCAGTATGTTAACTAATCTACATGGAAAAAAGTTATCCAGGCTTTAAAGTTCCGTCAAATTAATTATATATTCATTTAACCATCTTCATTTTAAAAGAACAAAATATATAAATTCTGGTGCTGCTCAAGAAAATATGAGAATCCTGGTCATTTTAACTATAAGATAGTTTTTCTCACATAGATAATTCCATGATAGATGAATACATTTCATACTATAGAATAAGATTTCTAAGAAGTGACTTCTTGGCCTCTTTGAGAAGAGAGTTTCACATGGCCATAAGGAGCCCAGATTCCAGCATCGGTCTCATCAAGACTGGATGCCCACTCTGTCACTTGCTACAGTTTAGGGGGCAGGGTGGTCAGCCTCTGCAAGCCTTGACTTCTCCATGTGTAGAATGTGATAATAATGATCCCCATCTCAAAGGGCTGCTGTGAAAGTTAAAGGAAATAATGCGCGTAAAGTGTTTAGCACAGTTCTTGACCCACGGTAAGCACCTAATGTTTGTGTGAGCTATCGCTATTATTATGATTCCTCTAAGTGGTTTACACATTAAAGAAACAGAAGAAGTGATAGATGGATGCCGTATGAATGAGATGCCTGACAGGTGTCAGGGAGCGTGGCATAAAGAGCCACCTGATAACACCAAGGTCAGCGGAGTGGAGAGAACTATAAAAATCCCACATGCAGAGCCCTCGCTGGAAAAGACAAAGGCAAATGGAAGCCGACAGGCACTTAGCAACTACATCATCAGTTCATGCTTAAGAGGAGAGAGAACTTCAACATGGATAATTAAAACAGTAATCCAGCTCTGGCTTTCCTTCATGCCTAAGCAGCAGCTAGAAGATGTCAAGAGAGGAGAGATGTCCAAGCCAAGACTTGATTCCACCCTGTACTGCCTCATCCTCTATTAACAGGTGTAGGCTCAGGAAAAGCAAACCTCAGTTTAGAAGTCACATGTTAAAAGACACGAGATAGAAGGGGATCCAGAAACTATCTAAACTAGTGGTTTTTGCAGATTTGAAGCCATACCTTCTTAAAAGCAAAGTACAAACAAAAAAGTAAAAGCCATGCAGCTATTCAGACCTCGGCAGAGATGGGGTCCCACAGCCCAGGCAGCGCAAGTCTACACCCGTCCGCCCCGACATCCTACCGGGGCTGCAGAAGCCCAGTCTGAAAGCCACTGACAATGTCCTCCCCTTCCTTTTAGAGATGGGAAAACTGAAGGTCAGAAAGGTAAGGAGATCGCCACAAAATTGCAGGGACACAGGGACAAAGCTGTCACTGGGATCCAACCAGCCTTCTAACAGCCAGTCAGGGTCTCCTCACCACTGAATGCTCTCTTCTTGCCTCACATACCAAAAAGATAAAGAAGAAAGAAAACCTTGTTTGAAAAGAATGTGCCTCATCACAAGGAAAAGCACAAAACGGAAGGCTGGTAAGCAACAAAGCCTGGCGCCGACAGCTCCACCGACCTGCATTTGAATGAAACATGGCTCCGTCTACGGCTGCCTAGAGTTGCCGAGACAGTTTTTAAACATTAAAACAAATTAAGCCAAAATAATAATAATAATAATGATAAGGACTTCACAGTGAATGTCTAACAGATTCCCATTTACAACTGTGTTGCATGTGCATGTCCACAATCACACTTTGGGGAAGTTTAAGCCACATTAATGAGACCGGGCGAAATGAAAAAAGGGAGTGAATAGCCAACAAAATTAATTACAGTCACGAACGGATGAATTATAGATTTAAGATGATGCCAGGCGTGATTTAGTGTTCTGTTCACAGAATCTCAGCTTAGACCATCTGGCTGTACTTTAAGGCACCTATATTTTAAAGTCAAAGGTCAAGTCAAGCACTTCCTTCTTAGGCTTCTATGTTGTAGAGTTCAAGGTTCATATCAACACTTGTAAATTATTTTCTAAAATGCCGTAACTCCCCTCTATTTGAGATACCAGCGACAGAGAGGCCTCAAAATCCAATCTCACATGGCCTTCACAGACCCATGTCACACTGCGCCTGAGCCTGCAGCCACACGACCTGTGACCCTGAGCCTGTGAGATTGCGATTTTGTGCTGGATTTTTATTTCCTCATTCCATGAAAGGAAGATTGAAGGCACCCAGAGATAACTATCGGGTAGTCTGAAGCAAGTTACTTCCTGGCCTCATCTGCATCAAATCCCTTAACAGTATCTCGCCTCCTCCAGCCGAAAGACCGTCCCGACATGTGGCCGGACGCACCCTTGCCGGCAGTGCTGAGAGCGGAGGTAAGGTCTTGGAGGAGACAGGAGGGTTCTGTCTCTGTACTGGCCACATGACACCTCCATGGCAGAGATGTTCTTCAAGAGCAGAAGGTTGGCTGGCACAGAAGCAATGTTTCCTCCCGTAAATCCAACCACCACGATCCTGCCCTCCCATGCCAGGCTGAGGGAAAGAAAAAGAAAAGAAATTACAAAAAAGCAATCTACATTCATACCATTAGGATGGCTACTATCAAAAAACATCAAAAAAATAACAAGTATTGGCAAGGATGTGAAGACATTTAAGCACACTGGTGATGGGATTATAAAATGGTACAACTGCTATGGACAACAGTATGGAGGATTCTCAAAAAATCAAAAATAGGTCCAGCAATTCCACTTGTGGTATGTGTCTAAAAGAACTGAAAGCAGGGTCCCGGAGAGATCTGTGCACACTCATATTCACAGCAGCACTGCTCACAACAGCAAGAGGTGGAGCAGCCTCTTTCTGTCAGCAGATGAACAGATAAACAAAATGCAATATATAAGGGCTGTCTGGAAAGTATCCAGCCATTGTTAATATAACTAGAACATTTAAATGGCTGGATATTTTCTGGACAGCCCTCATATACATAATGAAACACTATTTAGCCTTAAAAAGGCAGGAAATCTTGTCATGTGCTATAACATGGATGAACTGTGAGGATATTATGCTAAGTGAAATGAGTCAGACACAAAAAGACTAATGCCGTATGATTTCACTTATATGAGGTATCTAAAGTCGTCAAATTCATAGAAACAGAAAGTAGAGTGGTGGCTATCAAGGGCTAGGAGAGGGAGATAAGGGGGGTTGTTTAATGTGCACAGAGTTTCAGATTTGCAAGGTGATAAGATTGTGGAAATCCATCACATAACAATGTGAATATACTTAATACTACTGAAATGTCCACTTAAAAATGGTTAAGATGGTAAATTTTATGTTATATGTTTTTTACCACAATAAAAAAGTAGAATTTTTTAAAAACCAATGTACTCACAGAGACAGAAAGCAGAGCAGAGGTTACCAGGGATCAGGGGAAGGGAGAAAGAAGCAGTTAATGTTTAACGGGGACACAGTCTTTACTGGGGATGGTTATACAACATTATTAGTGTATTCAATGCCAATGAACTGCACACTTACAAATGTGAAAATGATAAATATTAGGTTATATATATTTTATCACAATAAAAAGAAAACAACACGTATTAAAGCCACAACTGGGAACTCCCCTTGACCTTACAAACTGGCAGTTGTGAACCGTCCTTTACTACGTTCAGTTCCTCAGTAGGAAAATATAAAAATAAACCATTAAGCAAGGTATTAGGGAGCCACGGCAACAACCCAGGTTTATAAGGGGACCTATTTCAGAATCAAGGCTATCTATTTAACTGCCTCAACCACTTTGTAGAAAGCAATTGGGTATAAACAAATGTCATTCCATAGTTTGTATTTCAAAACAACTCAATTTGAAGATTTTGAACTTAAGAAGCAGGTATAAGAAGATAAACACTTTAATCAAGGATCATTTGCTTTCCACAAAGACTTCCTTTAAGTCATGCACTCTGTTACTGAATTTTGAATAATCTACAAAAATTCACATTCCCATTATGTAAAGTATCATACAGTATCATGGCTAAGCAATGAGTTACAAAAACAACTTTTGTAAACATCTTTGGTATAAAATATGTATCTGTTTGTTTGGTCTGAGCTTTTTATTTTTTGAGAAATGAGAAGCTGTCATCAAAACACTATTATCCAGAAAGCAAAAAGAAGGCAAGACATGGGTGAGTTTTACCAGCTATCTGTCCTGACCCTACACTTAGTCTACACGTGCCTTCTTTTGCTTCTTCTCTAAGCACAGTCTCAGGCACGGTCAGTGATGATCAGAAATATATGCCGCCTGCCACTCAGCTCAGGGGCTAGAGAACCATCTGGATCCCTTCTGCGGGTGGGCTGCTCTCTCTGCTTCCGTTTCTTCTACTTTAAACTGAGATAAACCACAAAATTAGCTTGCCAGGATGATGTGAGACATGAAACCAATATTCAGAATACTCTAGAATTCCTGACCAAAAACAGAAAGAGAGCTGGTGGGATATAGCAGTCCCACTAAATCTCCAGTGATTTTTTTAAAAATAAAACAAATCAAGGAAACATCCACAGTGCTGGTTGCTGCAGAAACCGGTAAGATCGGAGGAGTGTGTACCTTGGTACATGGTGAACTTGGGAAAGGGAGGCTGCCTCCCCAGTAATTCTAACATCGTAATGATCGCCTCAAGAATTCCCCACATCCATGTATATAAAGTAGTTAGTGGGGGCTGGCATAGCTGAGTTTAGCACATGTATAATTTCTAAAGCATTTGACATTGCCAGCTAAAGAGCCTGCAGTCATTTTTTGGATATTTTCCAGTTGGGTATTTTGCTTTTGCTATATTTAAGCATTTCCTGATTTTCTCTGCTTCTGTTCCTTTTCATCCACCCACTCGGCTGTCCTCGTGGGTGCTGGTGCCTGCAGCAGGAGCGAGCAGCAGAGAGAGAGGAGCAAGGCCAGAAGGGAGACCGAGCCCGGAAAGGCTTCAGCAGGCTGTCCCAGATGGGGCCCTCTCAGGACAGGCTGCTCCACGCACCTGCAGGGCCTCCAGGAAGACGCCTCCGCCCCCGTCGACGGCCACGTTCACCCCGCCACTGCCCACCGGCGTCCTCGCTGCCTCCTTCAGGCTGCCCTGGCTGTGTCCACGCAGAGCTGGGCACCTCGCGCATCGCCAGCTCGCACTTCTCGGCACTTCCGGCAACAGCTATTACCTTCACAGAGAACACAGTTTCTGATGGCCCAGAACACGTCGCAAGTGGGGATGCCCCACCTACCCCTCCTCCAGCCAAAGGGCTACTCAAGGAACCAATGTGACTTGCCGCCCTGGTGCCAGCCTCGGGGCCACACGTCAGGCCCAACACACAGACCTTCCCGCCGGCCCCTCCATGCCCACTAGCCATGAGGTCCACATTTTGAGGAATCCAGGAGCTCCAACAGGTCTAGCTAGGAGATGGTTCAAAAGACACACAGCAAGTCCTCTCCAAGTGTCAACGAAAATCACCATTTACTGAGCACCAGCTATGAGTCAACTAGTAAGGACACAAACTGGATACCCAGCTCGGAGTTAAGAAAGCAAGATACAGCAGTGTGATGGGGAAGTGCAGAGGCCTCCAGAAATGCAAACAAGAAGTACCCAATCTAGAAGATCAGGAAAGGCTCCCCAGAGGGTAAAACACGACTGAATAGAAAGATCTTGAAGTCGGACAGACCTCAGTTCAAATCCTGGCTCTGCCACTCACCAACTGTGTTACCATAGGCAAATTACTTAGTAAAAACTAACACACAGTGTTACCATTTGCCAGACACTGCTCTAAATGTTTTTACATATATTAGTAACTCACTTAATGATAATAGACCAAGGAAATATATGCTATTATTATCCTCACTCTATAGAGGAGTGAGGCAAAACAGTTAAGTAACTTGCCCAAGGAAGGTCACACAAAGAGGCAGAACTGGGACACAGCTAAGGCACAGCAGAGTTCCTGCTTTTAACCTCTATACTGCCTGCCAGCTTCATTAGGTTTCAGTTACTCCATCAATACAATAAGACATTTTAAAAATTAAATGGAAAACTGTACATAAACCACTTGGAAAACAAAGTGTCAGCACATCGAAGCTATTGTCGCACGCATGCAATCACTTGTTCTGTCTAAACCTCACAGGAGCGCACGGGGAGGTTTCATGGCTCCCGCTCTGCAGATGGAGGCGGGCCCAGGGCGTCCAGGCAGCCGGCGCCAGGACAACTGCTCAAGCCCGCTGCTGCCTTTCCCCAAAGCCCACGCTTTCCCTCCCATCACCCTTGGAGAAACCAAGCCGAAGGCGCGACACAAACGGCACAGACGCCTGTGAGCCCCCTGTGGGGGCGTCTGGGTGGTGAAAGTCTCTAGAAAAGCTGCAGAGACTCAACCAACGCTTCATCACTGGGCAGCACCCCCCACGCAAGCACTTTGGCCCCAAAGTGACCCTCAGAACTTGCACCCAACACCTCAAGAACATCAACTCCATTAAAAGTTTCCAAACTCACTCATAACTGAATCCTTCCCTCTATGCCTGCCCGTGGGACCCTCAGACAGAGCAGCGCACGGGGGCAATGCGGCACCGTGCCACCAAGGACGGGCGCTGGACGCGGATTCGCACTCGAGACTCTCGCTCGGTCTCCGTGGGACCTGCAGTGAATCACCTTCTCTCCCGGGCCTCCTTTCCTGATCTGTGAAGTAGGATAACACACACTCACATTACCCATCTCCCCAGAGCTCTGCGGGGATCACAGGTGAGATAACTGCTGTGGACGCTCCGAAAGCGTGTGGAAGGCTATGGATGGAAGGTGCCATCAAAATGACCTGTTCCACGTAGGTGGCATGGTAACATTATTGTTTTTGTTTATTTTTGTTTAAAACCATTATTACTGCTAAAGAAAATACAGCTTAATTTTAATATCTGAATTAAAGTGAATTTTTCTTTCTACTTAACCTCTTAAAACTATTAAAAACCAATGGTACAATTTTATCTTCCTAGAAATGTTAAATAGTCAATAGCTCTAGGCAATGAAACAAATTATGGTCTCTACCCCTAAGAGGAGCTTAAAGCCCATCCTTTTGACATGAAATGCGTTAATATCACTTGAGGAGCCTCCTGGTATCTAAGATTGCTTTCAGAAGTCACATGCCCTTCCCAAAAGGATCTTAATGTGAGAAAGGAGAGATGCCACCTAAAGAAATTCCAGACCAACCTAATAATCTCCAAACATGGATCTCTAGTTGCCTTCCCGATATCCCAATTGCACACTCAGCAGGGGCCTCACACTCAACACGTCCAAAACTGAACTCACCATTTCCCCTTGTGTTCTCAATTCTCAATAAACAGCAATTCCACAAGTTAACTTAGTTTGCTCCTTCCCACTCAATGTCTAATAATAACAGGATTTTTTTAAAGACATTCTTATTAACATGCCATGCCCTCTAATAGGCATCGCACATGTAATCTCAATATTCCTACAACAGCTCCACAAAGAAATCATTATTTCACGAATGAGGAAATGAGGCAGAGCTCAGATCTGAACCTTCCTCAGGCTAACTTTAAAGTCCTTGTTACTTTGAACAGGATGCACTCCACTCACCAAATTCTCTATTTTTTTCCACTTTGGTATCTCTCAATTCATTGCTTCCACTGTCTTGGCTCAAGTATCCTCACCTCTGGCTTGGCTTCCTCCAAGAGCCTGTTCTTCTGCTTCCAGACTACCCCTGACCTTGCCCTACCCCTTTCAGAGTGAAATTTTCAAAATGCAAAGATGATCACATCACTTCCCTACTTTAAAATCCTCAATAGCTTCCCATGAATATTCAAACTCTTCAGCCCAACACAAGGCTCCTCAGGATCTTATCTCTCTCTACCCTCTTCTCTAGAGTCATCTTCTACCATTTCCCCACAGGACCTGGTTCCAGCAATGCCACTGGCAGTTCCCTGAATGCATCATGCTGGTTCCCATTTATCTGTCATCTAATGCACCCCCCCCAATAAAATGGCCTTCGCCTCCCTTCTTCCTCTATTCAACTGCTACCAGTCCTTCAAAAGTCAGCTTAAATGCCCACCTTTTTCAAGAAATCCTCCTTCTCTGACACCCACAGCCTCAGAGAGATGCTCCTGCAGAGACCTGGGTCTTTCTTTCATTCTTTTATTCATGCATTCATTCATTCATTCAATCAAGAAATAGTTCTTGAGTTCCTACTGTGTTCTGGGTGCCATACTAGGTACCAGGACTACAGTGATGAACATGAACCAGACAAACACTGTCACTGCCTTCATGGGGAGTATATTCCAGTAGGAGGGAGACGTTAATCCAGTAATGACACAAGTAAAGGAGTAATGACACACTGAGCTATATATGATGAGAGAGAAGCACAGGGCACTATGAGATCACATATAAATCTCATGAGGGGAGGGGCCTGACATAGCCTGAGAAACAGAGAACACTTCTCTGAAACAGTGAGTTAAAATCTGAAGCACAGAGGAGACAGTTCAGAGCCCTACGGGTAGAGAAAACAGCCTCTGCAAAAGCCAGGAGGCGAGTCAGACCTTGCCAGGATGAGCAGTGTACGTCCAGGCCTCCTCAGTAGTCTGTAAGCAAATAAATGGCAAGACTCTGCTCTGGGTTAGTTTGTATCTCCAGTGTCTTGCACACGAGTTCTGATGAATGAATGAATATATTCCATGTTTGAAAACAGGAGTTATGATTTTTTAAAACAGAGACTCTCACATGCAAATGCCTCAGCCTGAAGAGTACCTGTTGCCACGCCTACCGCTGCAGGGCCTGTGGCTCCCGCTGCCACCACCGCTAGAGCGGTGTCCCTGCCAGACAGAGATGAGTGTCACTTCAGAAACCTTAAAAATCATCCAGTAATATGACTATACAAACATTTTAGGACCAGAACATTTTAAAGCAAGAATGTTAAAGGTCATTTCATCCAAACCTTCATGTGCATCTGCTCTCCAGCAGGGTTTGTATGTGACTTCTAGATCAATGCTAATTTGGTTCAGTTTCGAAGACTTCCCAGGAAAAAGATTCCTTAATCTCTCTAGGTAGCCTCTCCCTCATGTCAGTGGTAAACTTTCCTTCGAGATACCACTCCATTTGTGGGAAATTCTGTCCTAAAATCATCCTCATACTAAATACTGCCCAATTTTCTAGTGATTATATAATGGCACTGTTCAACTAAACCCACCTATCTGAGGAGCAATTCTGAGACTTGGCTGTCTGAAAAGATCAAGAGACAGTATAAATGTTCCAGGTACAGTGGAAAACTTCAGCACCTGTGAGTTTGAAATACCCTAATTGGCACACCCAACAAGGCCTCACAGAAACAAATGTCACAGGCCTCCATCAAACTCAGAGTGAAGTAAATTAAAATAAACCAACTCTCTAAACTTTAAGGTTTTCTATGAGGTGATCTCCAGAGTGGTTAGATTTGAGAAAGAGATTTTTCCAAATTCAAACTGGCTAGTTCATACTCCCAAATGAAAGAATGCCCCCCTAGTCACGAGACCCCCGTCTCAAGTGACTGCCTCCCTTGGCCTTTCCTCAGCCAAAATGAACACGAGCAGAGAGAAGGGGAGAGGTGTGGACAAGCCTTGTTGGGCACTTGTGGTGTCAGAAAAGGGTGCCGTCCAGCCCTGTTGTCGACACAGCCTCACCCAGGCTGGGCACAAGCCCGATGCTCCAGCGTTAAAATGCAGTGGTGTAAGATATAGGCAGAGCAGCAGCTTCTAGCAGGGAGACCTTTTCTGGAATCTGCCAGAGCATCTATAAAAATAGATAACAGTGACTTAGGGATTTAGCACATGTACTTGGTTACAAAGGCCACTCAGTAAATATTATGATTTGATTGAGTGACCGATTTGCAAAGGGAAACACATGCACAAAACCAAGCCAGTGGAAGTCAAGATCAAGCAAGCCGTGGCAGAGCTCAGGACCTGGGTGTATCAGACTTCAAAACCCCAAGCATCTGGCTCAGGAAGGAGCCAACGGATGGAAAACAGAACATAGATCACTGTACTGTAATGAATGAATTATATGATGTATAAATTTTACCTCAATAAAGCTATAGAAAAAAAATTGTATACTGTATACCACCAGAGGGCCAGCAACATTCACATCCTGCACAACTGTACCAGGGCACCCTGGCTGGCTCTGTTCCCAGGGCTATCTCTTTCATAAGCTTTGTGTGGGGAGAAGCCCATTACATCCAGCTCAATGCCCCAAACCAGTTTTTCTACCAAACGCTGTTTTGCTACCTAACTATGGTCCAAACAAAATGCCCTACTTCATTAAAACACTCTACACATTCAAAGCTCTGTGCAAAGATTGTCACCCTAGTAAAGAGAAGGGGTTTAGCATTTGAAAAAATGAAATGCTTGGCTAAGAAACAAGATATGGACAAATACAAAGAAAAGAAGGGAGAATGGGAGGACAAGGAATGAGCAATTAGTGGAAATTAAAGAAAACAAAGGAGAAAAAACATCTCCAAGCATTAACCTTGAGAGGCAGAGATACCTTCTGGTCAATGATGCATTCCTCAGCCATACCATTAAACAAACTCACACCAATAACTCAATCTCCCTGCAGGGAAAACAGCATTAAGGATATGTTCAAATGCATTGCCTTACATCCACCTTTCCCTGAATTAATCCAAAAAAGGAAGAAAATACACATCTCTGACTCCATGAAACAATTAAGGTTGGCCTTAATTTCCAGTCAGAGTTAATGTTTAGTAAATAAAACAAGAATTTTCTCAATACCACCACCAGGTTGCCAAGCCAATCTGGGCACATTTTAGACAATGATGGGATAGAGTAAGGAAAGGTTGATACACATTAGATTCCCAGTATTCATTTCTTTCACAAGAGGCTCAAACTTGAGAATTCTCTATCCTCTCAGTAGTTAAAGACTGAGGTACTACCTTTTATTCATAATAAAGTTTAATGAAACCAGATACTTCCACCAACTTCCTTCCCATTAGAATTTGTTCCTTCTTCTCTTTCCATCTCGGTTTCCCTTTAGTGCCTACGGGCAAAGGCCAGTGGAAGCAAGACCCCGTGGTTACAAATGAGGTCAGCGCATTTCTCATAGCTACACATACACTGATTCCCTAGATTTCACCTGATTTACCTCTTTCACTGTGCTGACGTCTGTGCCTGTCTCCAACACTGTCCCAGAAAACTCCATTCCTAAAACACATTGTTTACAGGTTAGGTTATCTTTAAAGCCCCAAACCGTGGAGATGAGAAAACCCTGATCAACGGACCATCCCATCAGCTTTTTGTTGCTGAGAGGGTTTAGGTTTAGGTGTTACAGGCTGGTCCAATGATCCATTTAGCCACACTCCATGCTAGTGACACTTCTGGGCTGCAGCTGCATTTCTCCCTCTCACCTGCGTCCCCAACAGTGAGGCCCACGGCCTGCTTCCCCCGTCAGAGGTTCTCATTCCCCACACCGGATGACACGGTTACCAGAGTGGTCCCTGGCAAGGCCAAAGTGACTTCCACGTTTCCGTGGAGCTGCCTACAGCCCTAAACTGATCCCATCCCAAATCGCCGCAATGCCCTAGAGGGGCAGCAGGCGCGCATTCGCGTGGAAACCTGGGGTCACTGGGCTGGTTTACGGGAGGCAGGAGACTGAGTAATTCTCGATGTCGACACTGAAGAGGAAGAAGCAAAGGATGGAGGCCCATGAATCTGCATTAAGTCAATAACTTACAACGCAAAGTCGATGCAAATCAGAGTTCTTGGATTCTAAGGCAACAGCGCCGGAGCCTCTGTCTCTCTCTCTGTCAGAGAGAGACACAGAGAGAGACTGAGAGTCTGAGGGAGAGAGAGACAGAGACAGAGAGT